TATTTGCATAACTGTTTATTTCTGTCTATCCCACTGAATGGTATTTTCCATGAGAGCAAAGCCTCACTGCAGAATCTCTAAGAGTTAGCACTGCATCCAATACACACAGTAGGCAATAAACCTTTTTAAAAGAATGAATGTTTTATTTAACTTTACCTTCTGCTACTTCCCAAAAGGAAATCTCTCTACTCCAGCCCATCTCCTCACCTTCCAGCCTCTTTTTCCCCAGACAGACCACACACAGGCGCTCCTGGCCAACCCACCCCCAAGCCTGGCCTGAAACAGTTTCTCACTTCCCCACCACAAAGTTTGGGCCTTCTCTTGTTCCTTCTCCTCCAAAACCTCTTCAATGTCCCTGACCGTCTCCCAGCCCCCTGGAATCTCTCCCTCCTCTTATCTCCTATGTCCCTTAACATCACTGAGTTTTGCTGGCTAACAGGGCTGCTTCCTTCCTATTCTTTATTCTCTTGTAACATAGAATCCAGGTTCCCTTCTACCCAGCTGTAAGCGCCTTAGAGGCAAAGGCCTATGCCATGGTTCTTATTCCCAAACCTTGACTGCAGTTAGTCCTCAGGGAAGTTTTTATTGTTGTTGATAATGGGTGTTCAACCAGTTAGGTTGTAAGAGAAACTAACTGAGGATGTTTTATTTTATTCAATAAAGAAGGAATTCATTGGCCTGCATAACTAAAAAGCTCAGGCTGAGTGCAGGGACCTTCCGTCTGTCTGTCTCTTCTGACTTCCCCTGCATTGGCTTCATTCTCAGGCAGGCTCTCCAGGCCTGTGGGAGAGACGGCCTCCAGGCTTACATCCTATTGGCTTAGTACCATCAGAGAAAGGGAATTTCCCTTTCCCAAGAGTTCTGGAAAAAGTGATTCTCATTGGCCTGGTTTGGGTCATGTGCCCATCCTGACTCAATCACTACAGCTAGGGAAATGATCCACTCCTGGGCCTGGGTGGATGGCCAGGCCCAGGGAACATACCTACTCATAGATCTAGGGTGGGGGCTGTCTGTCCCCAACCACATGGACTAGGGTGGCTCCCCAAAGGAAACTGCTGGCTGGGGAATATTAATAAAAAGAAAGGGGAATTGATGTTGGTCATGCAAAACAAAAGATGCAGACGTAGACTATGAGAATTTTCCGTGCTAAGCTTCAGCAAGAACCTGAAAATACCTTAGGTGAACTGCACAGGAGAATCACCGGGGAACTGATTTGCCCTGGCTGGGGCAGAGGACGTTCTCTCCGAGTCTAGGTGGCTTTCCAGGGACAGCACAAGAATCCCAGGCTGATACCTCGGCCCAGTGCTGGCACTCACGAGCTCGGGAAGATTGTGACACAGTTGGTCCAGGGTAACACCTGTCTTTTTCAGACCTCCACAGGCGATTCTGCTGCACAAAGTTGAAAAATTCTGCTCTAGGCAACATTCTACTGCAGCAAGAAGGATTCACATCAACTCTTAGGGATTATGTGCCCTGTGATAGGATTGGTGTGTTTTTCCCCATCTGCACAGCTTTCCAGAAAAGGGTCACTGGAGTTTTCTTGGAGGCTGAGGATGGGTGAACTGTGGATGACCCTATGGATCCAAAGCCCCTGAAAAGAACAATAGCCACTGTTTGTCAAATGCCAATTGCAAGGCAGGTACCGTGCGTTGGGACTTGACATATGGCAGCCCACATAAATTTCAGTCCTCACAACAATACTCCCATGTGGGTTTTTTTTTGTTTTTGTTTGTTTTGTTTTGTTTTGAGACGGAGTGTAGCTCTGTTGCCCACCAGGCTGGAGTGCAGTGACCCGATCTTGGCTCACTGCAAGCTCCACCTCCCGGTTCACGCCATTCTCCTGCCTCAGCCTCCTGAGTAGCTGGGACCACAAACGCCCGCCACCACACCTGACTAATTTTTTTTTTTTTTTTTTTTTTTTTTTTTAGTAGAGACGGGGTTTCACCGTGTTAGCCAGGATGGTCTAGATCTCCTGACTGTGTGATCCGCCCGCCTCGGCCTCCCAAAGTGCTGGGATTACAGGCGTGAGCCGCCGCGCCCGGCCCCCATGTGGGTATTATTACTATTATTTATTTATTTATTTGAGACGGAGTCGCACTAGCCCGGCCTCATGTGTGTATTATTAACATTAGCTCCATTTTATAGTTGAAGAAAGTGAGACACAAAAAGCGTGGCTGGCCAGGCACAGTGACTCACGCCTATAATCCCAGCACTTTGGGAGGCCGAGGCGGGTGGATCACCTCAGGTTAGGAGTTCAAGACCAGGCTGGCCAGCATGGTGAAACCTCATCTCTATTAAAAATACAAAAATTAGCCGGGTGTGGTGGGGTGCATCTGTGGTCCCAGCTACTAGGGAGGCTAAGGCAGGAGAATAGCTTGAACCCAGGAGGCGGAGGTTGTGGTGAGCCAAAATCGCCCCATTGCACTCCAGCCTGGGTGACACAGGGAGACTGTCTCAAAAAAAGCAAAAAACAAAAACAAACAAAAAGCTTGGCTGGCTGGGTGCTGTAGCTCACACCCGGAATCCCAGCACTTGGGGAGGCCGAAGTGCGTGAATAGCTTGAGCTCAGGAGTTCAAGACCAGCCTGGGCAACATGGTGAAATCCTCTCTCTACGAAAATACAAAAAAAAAAAAAAAAAAAAAAAAAGCATGGTGGCAGACACCTGTAGCCCAAGCTACTTGAGATGCGGAGGCTGAAGAATCACTTGAGCCTGGGAGGCGCAGGTTGCAGTGAGCTCGCGCCACTGCACTCCAACCTGGGTGCCAGAGTGAGACCCCGTATCAGAAAGAATAAAAACATAAAGAAATAAATTTGGCTAAGGTACCCTACCAGGGAGTGGCAAAATGAACATTCAGACACAGGACCATCTGTGCTACAACAGCCTGGCCTTTCTGCCCTTGCGGCAGGAGTCCTCTGAGAGGTGCATCACTCCTGCCCCAATGGACAACTCTGTAGACAGTGGGAGTGAGCCCCCCACCCCCCCAGCGTACTTGAGATGGCAGGCTCCGAGACGAGGGGGTCCTGGATCATTGCTGGATTCCTTAAGTTGATTTTTATAAGAAAACGTGTTTGGAGGTGGGACAGCTACAGAGGGATGAAGTCCAAGAGTTACACCCTCCCCCACTTAAACCCCCTTACCCCGACCTCCAGAGGCTGTTGGGGTTCACCGAGGCCCTCACCTTCTCCCTTCCCTCTCGGTGTCGTCAAGCACCCTCCTTCCCCACATACACTTTCTGTTTTCTTTTTAAATCCAGAAAAACAGCACCTCCTCTGGATTCAGAGCTAGAGCAGGAGGAGCCTTCCCTTCCCGGAATCCCTGTTCCCTTTGGGGTGCGCATTTGACTGCGTCTTGGGGGCGGGGAGGGCTTCCCTGTTCGCGTCCGGCCCCCGGGAAACCTGCGGCAATCGTTCTCCCCCCCCCCACCACCCACCCCCTGCTTCCTTCTCCCCTCGCCTTGGCCAGGCTTGGGGTGAGGAATGTTATCCCGGAGTCCGGGCGCCTCGGCAGTGGCGGGTCCCCAGGGACTGCAGGGGGGGAGCCCGGGCTGCAGCGCCTGCTCAGTTCGCGCTCACTGCGTCGAAGGCTCCCCCGGCCTGGCTCCGCGCCCAGCGCTGCATCCGGGAGGGGGAGCGAGGAGGCGGCGGAAGAGCCCGCGCGGCCGGAGCCCGTGGCTGAGAGTGGAGAGGAAACCTCCAGGGGGCAGCACCGAGCCGCCTAGCCGGTCCTCTCTTCGCGCCCAGCCCGGGGTCCCCAGATAGCCCATAGGGAAGCCCCCGCTTACGGATTCCCGCAGCGTCGGCCACCCCTCCACCTGGACTGTATAAGCGGGGGAAGTGACCCCCCACCACAAGGACCATTATTTCCTGGTGAGAACAGGAATCAGGTCTCTCCTGGGGCAATCAGCTTCCCCACTTCGGTCCCCCAAAGGTGGGCTCTTTGCCGGTGGGGACTAGGGAACAGCCTTTTGGTTCCGGGGGGACACAGGGGACCCCAGGCACCAGCAAGCAGCCCCATCCCACTGACAGGTGGCAGAGGCAAGGCAGCTCACTGCTATGCAGTGTCCCAAGAACCAAGTGGCCGTGACTTCCTACCCTCAGTTTCCCCGGCGACACCCGGAAAGACACCGTGCCATAGGTCGAGGCCCGGGGTCAAGGCCCCGCCTCTCCTGGGCGGCCCCTGCCCAGGCTGGCCCAGCAGCTCCTCCCCCGCACTCCCGGCTCGCTCTCACGGTCCCTGAGGTGGGCGGGCGGGCCCTGGATGACAGCCGCAGAACCCCGGCCCGACTCGCCCTCGCCCCCGCTCTGGGTCTGGGCTTCCCCAGCCTAGTTCACGCCTGGGAGCCGCCTGAGCAGCCGCGCGCCCCGCGCCACGCGCCCCGAGCCCTCCCCGCCTGGGCGTCCCCAGCTCCCGCGAGCGCTCGGGCTCCCGGCTTGGAACCAGGGAGGAGGGAGGGAGCGAGGGAGCAACCAGCTGCGACCCGGAAATGCCATATAAGGAGCAGGAAGGATCCCCCGCCGGAACAACCCTTATTTGGGCAGCGCCTTATTTGGAGTGGCCCGATATGGCCCGGCCGTTTCCGGCTCTGGGAGGAGGGAAGAAGGCGGAGGGAAGAAGGCGGAGGGAGGGGCGGGGGCAACGCGGGAACTCCGGAGCGGCGCGGGTCCCGAGGCCCTGGCGGCGGTTCGAGCTCTAGGCTTCCCCGAAGCCTGGGCACCTGGGATGCGGGCGCGGGCCCGGGCCCCAGGGTGCAGGATGGAGGTGCCGGGCGCTGTCGGATGGGGGGCTTCACGTCACTCCGGGTCCTCCCGGCTGGTCCTGCCATATTAGGGCTTCCTGCTTCCCATATATGGCCATGTACGTCACGACGGAGGCGGGCCCGTGCAGTTCCAGACCCTTCAAATAGAGGCGGATCCGGGGAGTCGCGAGAGATCCCAGCGCGCAGAACTTGGGGAGCCGCCGCCGCCATCCGCCGCCGCAGCCAGCTTCCGCCGCCGCAGGACCGGCCCCTGTCCCAGCCTCCGCAGCCGCGGCGCGTCCACGCCCGCCCGCGCCCAGGGCGAGTCGGGGTCCCCACCTGTGCGCTCCTCAGTGTGCCCCGCGCCCCGCATGTAACCCGGCCAGGCCCCCGCAACTGTCCCCCGCAGCTCCAGCCCCGGGCTGCGCCCACCCGCCCCGACACCAGCTCTCCCGCCCGCTCGTCCAGGATGGCCGCGGCCAAGGCCGAGATGCAGCTGATGTCCCCGCTGCAGATCTCTGACCCGTTCGGATCCTTTCCTCACTCGCCCACCATGGACAACTACCCTAAGCTGGAGGAGATGATGCTGCTGAGCAACGGGGCTCCCCAGTTCCTCGGCGCCGCCGGGGCCCCTGAGGGCAGCGGCAGTAACAGCAGCAGCAGCAGCGGGGGCGGTGGAGGCGGCGGGGGCGGCAGCAACAGCAGCAGCAGCAGCAGCAGCAGCAACACCTTCAACCCTCAGGCGGACACGGGCGAGCAGCCCTACGAACACCTGACCGCAGGTAAGCAGTGGCCTACGCTGAGGGGGAACCTTTCCGCCACCATCCTGGCGTCCAGTCCTTCAACGCAGGAGTGCTCCTGAATCTTAGGATGCGAGCCGGGTTTCCCTTTCATTCCTCGCATCCCCAGGGTCATGTGTTAGAGGAATGCCAAGGGACCCCACACAGCCCACCTCCGGCCCTCATCCCTAGCAGCAGAGGACAGAGCTTTTGTTTTGGATGGAGAGCTCTGGAGCTGCGTGGGTGGGTGGAGGGGGAGGGCTTATTTTGATGAGCGGGGCTCGGTCCCCTCCCCCCGGAAAGGCTTGCCTTGCCTTGCTTGCCGCCTGCCCCCAAGGAAGGACCGTGATCCTTGGCCGTGGATGTCCCGGCAGCCCGGGTTTGGGGGCGCGCACTAGCCGCGGCCGTGGGGGTGCTGGCGGGAATCCCTCGCCCGCGCAGCCGCCGCTGCGGAGCGCTGCGAGCTGCAGTGGAGGGGGATTCTCCGTATTTGCGTCAGCTGTTGTTGAAATGGGCTCTGCCACTGGAGCGGGTTCAGGAACATTGCAATCTGCTGCTATCAATTATTAACTACCTCGGGAGTCAATGGTAGCCGGCCGACCTCTTGCCTGGCAGCTCGGGTCGTTCTCATCCTCCAGTGATTGCTCTCCAGTAACCAGGCCTCCCCTTTCTCTCTCCTGCCAGAGTCTTTTCCTGACATCTCTCTGAACAACGAGAAGGTGCTGGTGGAGACAAGTTACCCCAGCCAAACCACTCGACTGCCCCCCATCACCTATACTGGCCGCTTTTCCCTGGAACCTGCACCCAACAGTGGCAACACCTTATGGCCCGAGCCCCTCTTCAGCTTGGTCAGTGGCCTCGTGAGCATGACCAACCCACCAGCCTCCTCGTCCTCAGCACCATCTCCAGCGGCCTCCTCCTCCTCCGCCTCCCAGAGCCCACCCCTGAGCTGTGCAGTGCCATCCAACGACAGCAGTCCCATTTACTCAGCTGCACCCACCTTCCCCACGCCGAACACTGACATTTTCCCTGAGCCACAAAGCCAGGCCTTCCCGGGCTCAGCAGGGACAGCGCTCCAGTACCCGCCTCCTGCCTACCCTGCCGCCAAGGGTGGCTTCCAGGTTCCCATGATCCCCGACTACCTGTTTCCACAGCAACAGGGGGATCTGGGCCTGGGTACCCCAGACCAGAAGCCCTTCCAGGGCCTGGAGAGCCGCACCCAGCAGCCTTCGCTCACCCCCCTGTCTACTATCAAGGCCTTTGCCACTCAGTCGGGCTCCCAGGACCTGAAGGCCCTCAATACCAGTTACCAGTCCCAACTCATCAAACCCAGCCGAATGCGCAAGTACCCCAACCGGCCCAGCAAGACGCCCCCCCACGAACGCCCTTACGCTTGCCCGGTGGAGTCCTGTGATCGCCGCTTCTCCCGCTCTGACGAGCTCACCCGCCACATCCGCATCCACACAGGCCAGAAGCCCTTCCAGTGCCGCATCTGCATGCGCAACTTCAGCCGCAGCGACCACCTCACCACCCACATCCGTACCCACACGGGCGAGAAGCCCTTCGCCTGCGACATCTGTGGGAGAAAGTTTGCCAGGAGCGATGAACGCAAGAGGCATACCAAGATCCACTTGCGGCAGAAGGACAAGAAAGCAGACAAAAGTGTTGTGGCCTCTTCGGCCACCTCCTCTCTCTCTTCCTACCCATCCCCGGTTGCTACCTCTTACCCGTCCCCGGTTACTACCTCTTATCCATCCCCGGCCACCACCTCATACCCGTCCCCTGTGCCCACCTCCTTCTCCTCTCCCGGCTCCTCAACCTACCCATCCCCTGTGCACAGTGGCTTCCCCTCCCCGTCGGTGGCCACCACGTACTCCTCCGTTCCCCCTGCTTTCCCTGCCCAGGTCAGCAGCTTCCCTTCCTCAGCTGTCACCAACTCCTTCAGCGCCTCCACAGGGCTTTCGGACATGACAGCAACCTTTTCTCCCAGGACAATTGAAATTTGCTAAAGGGAAAGGGGAAACAAAGGGAAAAGGGAGAAAAAGAAACACAAGAGACTTAAAGGACAAGAGGAGGAGATGGCGGTAGGAGAGGAGGGTTCCTCTTAGGTCAGATGGAGGTTCTCAGAGCCAAGTCCTCCCTCTCTACTTGGAGTGGAAGGTCTATTGGCCAACGACCCTTTTTGCCCACTTCCCCTTCCCCAATTCCTATTCCCTTTGACTTCAGCTGCCTGAAACAGCCATGTCCAAGTTCTTCACCTCTATCCAAAGAACTTGATTTGCATGGATTTTGGATAAATCATTTCAGTATCATCTCCATCATATGCCTGACCCCTTGCTCCCTTCAATGCTAGAAAATCGAGTTGGCAAAATGGGGTTTGGGCCCCTCAGAGCCCTGCCCTGCACCCTTGTACAGTGTCTGTGCCATGGATTTCATTTTTCTTGGGGTACTCTTGATGTGAAGATAATTTGCATATTCTATTGTATTATTTGGAGTTAGGTCCTCACTTGGGGGAAAAAAAAAAAGAAAAGCCAAGCAAACCAATGGTGATCCTCTATTTTGTGATGATGCTGTGACAATAAGTGTGAACCTTTTTTTTGAAACAGCAGTCCTAGGTATTCTCAGAGCATGTGTCCGAGTGTTGTTCCGTTAACCTTTCTGTAAATACTGCTCGACTGGACTCTCACATGTGGCAAAATATGGTTTGGTTTTTCTTTTTTTTTTTTTTTTTAAAGTTTTTTCTTTGTCCTTTTGGTTTAAAAAGTTTCACGTCTTGGTGCCTTTTGTGTGATGCGCCTTGCTGATGGCTTGACATGTGCAATTGTGAAGGACATGCTCACCTCTAGCCTTAAGGGGGACAGGGAGTGATGATTTGGGGGAGGCTTTGGGAGCAAAATAAGGAAGAGGGCTGAGCTGAGCTTCGGTTCTCCAGAATGTAAGAAAACAAAATCTAAAACAAAATCTGAACTCTCAAAAGTCTATTTTTTTAACTGAAAATGTAAATTTATAAATATATTCAGGAGTTGGAATGTTGTAGTTACCTACTGAGTAGGCGGCAATTTTTGTATGTTATGAACATGCAGTTCATTATTTTGTGGTTCTATTTTACTTTGTACTTGTGTTTGCTTAAACAAAGTGAGTGTTTGGCTTATAAACACATTGAATGCGCTTTATTGCCCATGGGATATGTGGTGTATATCCTTCCAAAAAATTAAAAGGAAAATAAAGTAGCTGTGATTGGGTATGTGTTTCCTGGGTTAGGGGAAGGACTCTGCCCTATTGAGGGCTATGAGGTTTTCTGAAGATGGCCTGTAGAGATACAAGGATCCTCCAGCCAGAGTCAGGCCACTGTGTGAAACTGGAGTTCGTTATTTTTGAGGACTGAGTCTGTGACTAGACAGGGTCTTGCTCTATCCTTCCAGGCTGGAGTGCAGTAGTGTAATCACAGCTCACTGCAGCCTTGACCTCCCAGGCTCAAGTGATCCTCCCATCTCAGCCTCCTGAGTAGCTAGACTGTAGGCACGTGCCACCACACTCAGCTAATGTTTATAGAGACAGGGTTTTGCCCTGTTGCCCAGGCTGGGGTTCTTCTCTTCCTGATAATGGGCCTGTTCCTCCTCAGTCTGTTGGGCTGAAGCTTTACCCTGGTTAGCTAAAGCCAAGAAAGGCCAGAGTTAGGGCTGGGACATGTGTGACCAGAGGCAGTACTACTCTACTGGCATCAAATGTTGGGCCAGTCCCATCCCCCACCTCTACTCAGGGTTGGAAAATCTGTGATCTTGGGAATCCCTGCCATGTGCAGTTAGGGGAGGTAAGAAGTGGGCACAAGGGCTTTGGGGAAACAGTAACAATGCTGGGGCCAACTCAGCCTCTCCCTCCCATTCCCCATGTCCCCAGCAACTTGAGGTCATCAAAGAAGCCTAGAAGAGGTAAAGGCCAGTTCTCAAGCCAAGAATCCTTCCAGGAAGAAATTCTTATTACTTGCCAGCTGGAACTGCCATCCTTGGCAGCTTCGTGGGACAGAGGATAGAGTGGGCAGAAGGCTGGCCTGGAGTCTAAAGTTCCCATCCAGGCCAAATCTGTTCCCATTGTGTAGGAGGCCTGAGGTTCTAGGTTCTTTTGGCCTCAGTCCCCTGAGGGACCACTCCCACTGCTGGGGCAATCCCTGTGGGCACATAAGCATCTGCATACTCTGTGAGAGGCCTTGACCTGGCCACGACAGACACCATGGGAGGAGCTCCTCTTCCAGGAATGTGGATTGTTGGCTGGGGAGATAGATATAAGACAAAAATTACAACATGGTATTGTGTTATGCAATATGGGCAAGAATGGGGCTCTTTGGGAGCACAGTGAAAGGCACCCAACCCACCCAGGGAATTAGGAAAGGTAGAAAAATTGAGTTAGGAAGCACAAGCAGGAGTCAACCCGATTGACTTGGTTTGTGGGTGAGGCAGGGAGGACACTGGCTGAGTCTACTCAGCAGTGTGGATGAGATGGATTACTGAGTGGAAGCACTACCTCCTACCCTGATATCTAAGTATTTTATGAATTGGTCAGACTCCACCATTCACTGGGTGGATGGGTACAATAGAGTTGATGTCCTGGAATTCCCAAGCCTTGGCTCCTCTCCCAACTTCTGACCCCTAAAATCAGAGGGACAATGAGGTATCCCCTTGACCTGGTATGGTTATCAGGCCCGGAGTGAAGTGAAAGTCTAATCTGCTTCTACCTCTTCTCCTTCCTCTAAGGGTCTCCCAGGTGGTTCTCAACCCACGCTTTCTGGAGCCACAGGAATTCCAATAACCCCCTGACATTGGCCCAATTCTTTCTCGTGCAGTCTAGCCTTCCCTGACCAACGCCGTTGACCTCTGCCCTTTCCCATGGCACCAGACTCCTCAGCCTAGAGCGGGGGAACTGGGCACTTTCTCTAGCAAGGGACACATCCCTGTGAGCCTCCTGGCAAAATTGCCAGGTCCTGATGGGACAATATTTGTATTGGCACACCTCTTCTCAGCCCCACCTACTCCTCCCCATCTCACTCTAGGCCCAGGAACACAAGTCCATGCCTGTTACACATTCTTAAGAGTTTCTCACTCCAGACTCCCAAGAAACAAAACATGGCAAGAATAAAATATGAAAGAAGGAGCACTGAGACTCTGTTCCTTTAAAGCAGAGGGTCTTGTATGTTACAAGTTCATCAGAATGAGATTCCCAGGCCCCATGAACAGAGCAGCTGACTGATACCTTACATTTGGGATAGGGTCCTGGAACTGGCCTTGATAACAAGGTCATTCTCATGCAGATGGCTTGTTGCTAGCTAATATTTATTTTATTATATTTTATTTTATTTTATTTTATTTTATTTTTGAGACAGGGTTTCATTGTCACCCAGGCTGGAGTGCAGCGGTGTGACTACAACCCATTGCAACCTTGAACTCCTGGGCTCAAAGTCTCCTCCAGCCTCCCAAGTAGCTGAGAATACAGATGCACTATAGATGACTACTTTTTTTATTTTTTATTTTTTGTTTATTTTTTGAGGCAGAGTCTGGCTCTGTTGCCCAGGCTGGAGTGCAATGGCATGATCTCGGCTCACTGCAACCTCCATCTCCTGGGTTCAAGTGATTCTCCTGCCTCAGCCTCCTAAGTAGCTGGGATTACAGGCACCCACCAGCAGGACTGGCTAATTTTTTTTTTTTTTTTTTTTTTTTTTTGAGACAGAGTCTCGCTTTGTTGCCCAGGCTGGAGTGCAGTAGCCTGATCTCAGCTCACTGCAAGCTCCGCCTCCCAGGTTCACACCATTCTCCTGCCTCAGCCTCCGAGCAGCTGGGACTACAGGCGCCCGCCACCACGCCCAGCTACTTTTTTGTATGTTTAGCAGAGATGGGGTTTCACCGTGTTAGCCAGGATGATGTCGATCTCCTAACCTCGTGATCCGCCCCCCTCGGCCTCCCAAAGTACTGGGATTACAGGTGTGAGCCACCGCGCCCAGCCCCTTAATTTTTGTATTTTTAGTAGAGACGGTTTCACCATGTTGGCCAGTCTGGTCTTGAACTCCTGACCTCAGGTGATCTGCCCGCCTTGGCCTCCCAAAGTGCTGGGGTTACAGGCGTAAGCCACTGCACCCAACCTTTAATTTTTTTTTTTTTTTAAGAGATGGGAGGGTCATACTTTGTTGCCCAGGATGATCTCGAACTCCTGAGTTCAAGTTATCCCTCCTATCCTGGCCTCTCAGGGTGCTGGGATTACGGGCGTGAGCCAACACATTTGGCTGCTAACTAATTTTTATTAGTCCTGTTGCCAGGGTTTCTTTAGGTTCTGACAGTCCAAACTTAAGTTTCTTTTCATGGCTGAAATAGGGAATGGGGCAAAAAGCTGCTCCCTTTTACAGTTCTACAGTATAATGAATGTGTTGGCTGATACAAAAATAAAAATATAAGAATAATGAGTGTTTATTTAAATTCCTACTCCTGCTAGGGAAATAGAAAACCAAGGGCACGAGACAGTGCTGATAAGAGCTCTCATCATTATAAAGGTTAAGGTTGGAGAAGGGTCCCGGAGAGTGTTGAACAATTGATTGCTACCTGGGGACATTGTCTAGGGCTTCAGGAATGTAAGGAAGAACAGAGAGGAGTAGGGTAGAAGGGAGTTGGGGGTGGGGGACTGGGCTGAGGACAAGGATAGGTTTTGATTCTGAAGTAAAAGAACCAGGTCCTAAAGACCCTTGACCCTTCCTCCTCCTACCTGAAAGGTACTCTTTTTGCTTGAATTTCAGGAATGTTCAGCCTCGTTCTCACCTGTTTTGAAAGATTCCAAGCACTCAGGAAGGCGGAGCTTGGCCCGGGGTGTGCGGCAAGCTGGAGTTTTCAGTGTGTTTCCTTCTACCTTCCCCCTATTCAGAACTGCCCCTATCTCCCAGGTATGGAACTGGAGCCAGGTAAGGGTACTATAGGGTCAGAGGTATTCCCTGCCAGTCCCCCTCCCTGCATCCATACTGTTTTCACTGTTTCAGTCCACACTTAGTGCAGTTGGAGAGGGGAAGCCATTGGGCAGAGCAATATCCCAGAGTCCTAAGGGAAATGAGGCCAAGTTTAAAATAATCAGATGTCAAGCAAATAACCTTTCAACATTTTGCCCAGAAACCTTTGGGTGCTAATAAGATTTTTGCACCCAAATAGCAAATCTAACCCTCTACTTCAGTAAGTTTTCTCCCAGTCTCCTTATCTCCATTACTAGGGCCTAGGAGAGCCTCTGAGTCTAAGCTTCCTTCAGATGACCTCTCGGGTCAGATCGGTGGCCCAGCAACTCAGATGCAAGTAAAAGATAATTTCTCTTTCCAGGGAGTTCTCTCCACAAGCCCATTCTCCTTGGCACTTAGGGTTTTAAAAATTATTATTACAACTCTATTGAAGGCTGTGTATGGTGGCTCACACCTATAATTACTATACTTTGGCAGGCCGAGGCGAGAGATTGCTTGAGCCCAGGAGTTCAAGATCGGCCTGGGCAACATAGGGAGACCCTGTCTGTACAAAAAAATAAAATAAACTGGGCATGGTGGCCCACGCCTGTAGTTCCAGAGATTCGGGACGCTGAGGTAGGAGGACTGCTTGAGCCTGGGAGGTCAAGGCTGCAGTGAGCTGAGATCATGCCACTTCACTCCAGCTTGGGCAGCAGAGCAAGACCTGGTTTCAAACAAATATATTTTTAACTATTTTTGTATTTTTTAGGCCAGGTGCGGTAGCTG